GTAGCGAGAATCGAACCCACGATCTCAGAGGTGAAAGGCGCTTCCTCTGACGCCTGCGCCATCAAAGCCCGAATATTACTAGCATTAACAAAGAAACTTAGATAAAAATGAAGACGCTCTTGATAAATACGATTTTCCACCTCCCTCCGCAATTTTAAGAAATAGTTTAAAAAGTCACAGTCCCCCCCCCCCTCCCAACACTAATGCATGCATGTATGACCTCAACAGTTAGGCCTAGGGTAACTAGGTAACTTTAGCCAATCGCTTTTTAGTGGTTGTGACCTTAAAAAGTAATAATTTTGTAACGCTATTTTTCTTCTCGTCCTTTTTTACGCAATTCCGCGTTTTATCCTCATTTGCGGAATCCGCGTTTTATCCTCAAATGCGGAATCCGCGTTTTATCCCCATTTGCGGAATCCGCATCCGGAATCCGCGTTTTATCCTCAAATGCGGAATCCGCATCCGGAATCCGCTTACGGAATCCGCATTCCGGTTCCGCGTTTTATCCCAACCCTATTCTATCTACACACACGTGAAGGAAATGTTCATTCGTGACAAAAAATATTCAACACGTTGGATATTATTTGTCTTACGCGTCACGAGTGACGAAAAACTTACAAAAGTGCATCGCACACGAGAGCTTTCTCCTTACGCCAACAGTCACGAATGACATTTTGCTAAGCACATAGCTCTAGTGTGCGCCGGGCTTTACTTTACAGACAAATTTAGCTAACGTGGTTTATATCCGTTGCTACCTGCAATTCCCAACTTTAGACTAACTCACATGCCTATATTACCAACAAAAGTAACTAAGATTAGAGATCAGTGGCGTAGCGCTCATTGGTTAGGGTTAGTTCAAAAACTAAGGCCCCCCGACAGTTAGGGGCCCCATCAGCCACGGTCTATCGCCCAGAAAATTAGAAAACGTAAAAAATGCAGGTGAAGAATCGATGGGAAAATGCGAAATTAATAATGCTAAATAATCAAGCCTCCATCGACGATGGTAGCTGATTTTTTTATTCCAACTCAAATTAAACAAAAGTTATTCTCAAAAGTTGTTACGTATGTTGGAGACTGTTATTGTCATTGTTATAGACACGGAATTTTCCAGAACATTCTGTACATGTTTAATATAAATTTAATATCTCAGTCAAACAATGACAACAGGGGCCACCACACAGAATATGCCTAAAGCCCTGATTCCACGAGCGCTTTTTGTCAGCGAAATGCGAAATATTTCGCCTGTTTCTTTTGAATTGTGAGCAATCAAGTAGAAATAATTTATTCGAGTGGTCGCAATTCAAAAGAAACAAGCGAAATATTTCGCATTTCGCTGACAAAAAGTGCTCGTGGAATCAGGCCTTTAGGGCCCGCTTTTCCTCCGTTACGCCACTGTTAGAGATGCGTATAAGAGTTATTCACTCAGGTAGATTATTCTTGTTCTATATATTCTCTGCTTTTGTAAACTAGAACAATGATAATTAGGCATGTGAGTTATATAAAGTTGGGAATTGGGTATAAAAACAAACATTATCCAAATTTGTCTATTGTTCCCAATATCAACTATTTTTCTTCCTCAGCGCCTTAATTTGAGAGGTTAAATCCTCACGAATACTATCCGCACACGAGAGAAACACGCTGAGCTGGCTGCCACGCGAGGCGGTCAGCACGTTTCTCTTGAACACAGCAGATGGTGTATTAAAAGAATGAACATTTTAAATTTTATAACAGATCTGAAGGCATCAAAAGAAGTTTGTATTAACCGCAATGTGGATGGCGTAGCAGAAAATTCAAGAGGCTAACACAATTTATGAGGTTGGTATATGTAAATGTAAATTCAAATATTTGTAAGCTGTGGGAATTGAGGAGCAAGTCGGTTTATATGCATAAAGTTTTCTCAAATTCTCATTTCCCGATCCAATGAGAACAAGAACTGCCTGCAAGCTGATGAGGAATGACTGCACATTACGGGTCAAAGGAACAAAAATTCTCATCAACTATCAATAAATTTGAGCTGGCTGAAAGAGTGAAAGTTGATGAGAATCGACGAGCGTTTGTCGATGAAACGCGAGCGAGAGTTGGATTTTTTATTAATTCTTCTCAAGTATCGTTTTGACACTTGATTGCCATGCAAACTGGACTTGATTGCCATCCTAGAGTCTTAGCGAGGCAGAGGCTGTCTTTTAGCGACGAATGCACTAAAGTTGGCAACAGCTAAATGTGATCGTTTTTCAATTCGTTTGGCGATAAACACTACGATCGTACAAATGCATGCACAGAATGGAAGCATGAAAATCGCGTTTGGCAGAATGCTGCGAACAAATACAAGCGTTGAAGGAGATACTTTAAGACATAAACCCTTCCGTTGTGTATTTCATGCTTAGTGGTTGGGGCTTTGTGGTTGAAAATTTTAACCTTCAGATAACCAATTTAATTTAATCAGCTGCATGTGGGCCTACTGTATGGTCTACTCTTTATTAAATCAAGAACTATGCGACCAGACCAGAACAGCTAGAATATCAAACTCGTGATTGTTCTGGATTTCCATCATGAATTGGTGGTTTGCTATCAATATCTTGATATTTAAAAGACAGAGATACAACAAACAGGAAAACATGCACCTTTCAAATACAATACTATAAATATAGCTGCTAATTATTTTTTTCAAAGTTTCTCCAAATCAATTTAATGCCATATTAATCATTATTAACACTCGTTAATTTTTCAAAGATTTCAACTAGTTGCACTCATCCTTGGGACTCGTGCAATTTTATTGTCTTTGTCTTAAGTAACTCACTCGTGCATGTTTTTTTCCAAATTGCCCTTGAAACCAGACTATCTGAACACCACAAATAATACACCGTGCCCCTATAGACAGCTATTTATTAGTGAGCATCAAAAACTCAATCGAAGACTGACTTTCTACTGTAGTAATTTAGACAGTATTATAAAAAATGCTCAAGCAAAACCAATGATATGTACTATTTAAAGAGTTTATACTCAATATCACTGATGCATGATTTCATGCGCAGAAATTTATGCAAATGATGCCTGTTTTAAGACCGTTAGTGAAGCCATTTTGCTCTTATTACGCGTAATAAGGTAATAAGCATTGAAACTAGCTGTGTAGGCAAAGTGACCAAGGTAATATATAGGGTATACCATGCCCACTATAAGACCGGTATATTGCGTTTTTTGTCTTATTACTCGTAATTGCGTAATAAGTGTTGAAGTTGCATGGGCAGGTTGGACAGGTAAAACCGAGGATGTGACGTTACATGACTAATGTTGCATGACGTTCTTGCTTTTTCGTGCCCAGTCCTCGACCGAGTTATATTGTATAATAACTGGAGGACCTGCTCTTATACTTCGTTCAGTCAACGAAGTGAAGCCAAAAACATGGAGGATTTTCAGGCAAAATGACGCCATTTCCATGACAACACTTACTTTATTTTCATGATAGGTACCACTGACCAGGCTCAATTCTGAGCCCACGGCCGTTTACACCCCCCCCCTGGTTTTTGAAAAAAGTTATGCAGATAATATAGTTCTCGTGGTTTTGAATCGGTTTTCTACCTTTAACTATTTGGACAAAGATATGCAAGTCGTACGTGTTAGTTCTCGCGGTGAAAGACGACAAACAAATTTAAAACCTCAAGAAATGTGGGAAAAGACGAGACTTGAATATGGATTAACAAAGGGTAAGAGACAAATTTTCATATTTCAATTTTCCAATATTTAGACTTTACCTTATTAAACGATGAAACTGACACTCTATTTGTTAATAAAACAACTTCCTATGCAACACACATGGTAAAGTGTAAAATTTCCCACTATTTTAGCAAGCTGTGATTCACAATCGCAAAATATTTGGTTACAAACTACTAAGCTTTGACCGATATTCAGTCACATATACGAGGATTACGACGGTCTTTAAAGTGCGAACTGTCTAGTGTAATAATGTTTAAAAAGTTGACTCCTGAGGTCTCGTTTTATAAACAGACATAAACTATGATCATGTGCCAGTCAGGCTATCTTTCACACTGAAAGAGGGAATTAGGTTTCGAGGGGTAAATTACTCTGAAAAAAGCGTACGAAGATTTTTGGGATTAAAAAATCTCGGTAATTTTTCTTGGGATTCTGGGATTTTTTCCCCAAATTTAAGGGATTTGGGGATTTTTTTCTGCTGATTTTTTCGAAATATTTTTCCTTATTTTTTTTCGCCGAACTTTTTCCGACTTTTTTTTCGACATATATAATCCGTCGAATTATTTTTAAAACAAAGTAAATCAACGAAGGGCGTTTTCACAACAATTCACGATTTAAATGTTTAAGTTGATGGGATTTCTCAATATTGCAATAATTTTAAGAATTTTATTGGGCTTTTGCAAGTATTTTATGCATTTTTTAGAGATTTCTTGGGATTTTAGGATTCTAGGATTTAGTAAGATTTTGGGATTTTTCCAAAGATTTTTTTTATTTTTGATGAAGTGTACGAAGATTTTCAGAGTAATTTACCCCTCGTTAGGTTTTGTAACATGTACCACTTTAATAGCTGAGGGTACTGGAAACTGATCTGGGAAGGTAGTTTCTACCTAGCTTTCTCCATGGTTGGGGCCGATCGATTCTTCTTGATTTTTGTGTCAATAATAGTAAATATATAGAGCGGCTTGAGATACATCACACTTTTCCCTAAGCTGAGGTAACAAGGTTTAGCCGAGGTGTGTGCCAAGGCATACATGTGTGATCGCACCTCATTTCCAGGATGGCCTGTTTTCTTACAAGTTTTCTAAGTAAATATCACTCTGAATGAACAATGTACATTTGTAAGTGCACTCATAGTTCTGATACCCCTGGTTTAAGCTGAGGAGTTAGGTCACATTCTTTTGTTTACCTTGATCATATGCTAATTATGTTACTGGTGGATTTTTGTACAACCTAGATAATTAATCTACTCTTGTTTATTGCAGATTTATTCCACAATGACACACTCCTTTCTGGGTGGCAAGTTACAGTACCAAGCCACACATATCTTTGGAAACTGAACATACTGTATTTTAATACATGCTTCCAGAAATTATGTCACCTTGGCTATAGAGATTCATTTTCACGATTGAGACATTGGACTAACTCATGCCACATACATGAAAATGAGGCTCCATAGCCAAGGTGAGTACATTCCGGAAGGGTGTATTTGACTTTTTTGTAAAATTATTAGCAGTAAACAATTTAAAAAACAAAAATGTATAATTTTAATTCCTATAAAACTTATTTACACTTCAATAAAGTTATCATAATCATATAATTATTTATGTTGTTATGCATGGTATAATAATTAACTAATTCATTTTGTTGTTCTGCATGTTTTTCTGCATGTTGATGCCTCAGTGCCATCTTTTGTGTACATATAATTTCTGCAAAATAAAAGATGACATTATTATCATCATATGATACATATTATACATCTTCACATCACAAAAATATCATAATGATATACACATATGTTAACCCTTCACAAGTGGCAATGTGTCTTGATATGCCTTACTGTATTATTTTAATCTACCTAACGCCAGACAATTTTACTAGTCAAGGGGAGAGTGCAATTACACGATCTGTTTTTACCAAGACCATTGATCTGAGCTTCAAAATTAAGTGTCATGTTTCAATATTCAGCAATGCAATTACATTCCTAACTGCTAAAATATGTCAAACTTAACTAATATGAGCAAATTTCATCATAATTTCTCACAGGCCGTGTCATGGCCAATCGGACATCACTACTCCCAATTATGTTAGAAATCATGGGTGGATTTACTTGGGGGGGGGGGGTTAAACCCCTCTAATAAAGTGTTCAACTCCACCAAAAATTCTGCTTCAACCCTCCTATTTTGTTCGAAAGGCCTTAACCCAAACGCCTAACCCCTGCCAAAGCTAACTGAGTGGTGCTGCTTGCACCCCACCAGAAATTTTTCTACCCCTCCTTTAAATAAATAAAAATCCGCCCTAATTGTTAGAAATGTTGTAGCATTCCGAATTTACCTCATGATTAGTGTATCAGTGACTCACTTAAATCCCGGCAGCTTGTGGGCAACGTTGTTCTTGCCATGTAACTATGACATCATACTGTGTAAAACTATATAGTTTTATATAGTTCTGAACAGACAATGGCAAAATGATATCTATTTTTAGTAAAATTATGAGTAAAACATCTGGATTTAATCTCACAGATTGAGTAAAATAAGAAAGTACTGCCAGGGTTCATTGCAGCTTAATGGGCTGACTATATATCTCAGGCTGCTCATTTGCAGATAGTGTAATTAACCCACTGCGTGGCAGCAGGGAGCAGTCTCAATCCCCTTAAAATCGTCTGTAGACAGACAGAGTAAAATAATGACAGTCTTTAGGGCTCATCAGGACACTAGGGCACATGCATTGTCACATGTAGGTGGGCCTCCTCCACGGCTCAACTCTCTCTCTGGTCTTGTGCTTATCTATATATACTAATTCTGCACTGTGATGGGCAAGTATATAAATTTCACACCATATTTAATAAACGTTTTAAAATATATGAACATGTATAAAACAACCACAATTTTTAGTATAAATTAAAAACTGGCAGTCTGGCAATAAAACCACAAAGGCCATTTGCTGACACAAAACAACAATTTCATGTGCACAATGTTTAATCATTAGCAATACTTTTATGTCCCCTATTGAAATATTCGCTGTATATATTAGGATGATGAGTTTTTGACATAATATGAAGGGTCTAGTGACTCTAGCCGTCTAGAAAGTTATAAAAAAGTTTCGTGAATCTTACCTGAAAGAATTAGTCTTTCTTTGTAGTCTTTGTGGTGAAATGCTGCATCCACAAGCGAAGCAAACCCCGCACCCTCGCTCCGCGTTGTAAAACAAGTAATGTTCGAGGGAAATATTAAGATTTTTAGCTCAAAATGAAAAACAACAGAAAACTTGAAATATCTTAAAATGTTTCTGTCCAAAAACCAGGGGGGTTAAGGACATCGTCGAAAGCTTAGGATCGCGGTTGGTCAGTGGCAGTTACCATGAAAATTTCGGAAGTGTTGTCATGGAAATGGCGTAAGATCCGCCATGTTTTTGGCGACACTTTTTTTCCCCGAGCAGGTCCTCCAGTAATATAGTATAGCTCAGTGACCTGCTCCTATACTTCGTTCAGTCAACGAAGTGAAGCCAAAAACCAGTGAACTCTATATATATATATCTGGAATGATAACAGCGAGCGAAAAGTGAAGCCGACAAAAAAATCACGACATAAGTATTCGTCATTGTCTTCGTCATCAACTGTTCAAGAACTTTCTTACAGTATTAAAAATCACTTACATATAAAATTTGTAATTGTTTTGAAAGTTTTTATCACAGTTTTTATATCTTTATTCACTTTTATAAACCTGAAGATGGAGTTTAATACTCCGAAACGTATTTATTAAAATAATTCTTACTAAGCCCATATGGTCTAATTTATATTCAAACACACGTACATATTCATTTGCATTTTGCTGGCAGGCAAATTCCGATCACACAATAAATTCTTTAAAAAATAACGTACCAGTGTATTGACTAAAAACTATAAACCTGGTAAACTAAAAAACAATTCAAACAATCGCGAAAAATGGCAACGGCAAAGTCACAGTTGCAAGTCAATTTACCTACCTGTGAAATGAAATTTTCTCGCAAGAATATCTCTTTCCTTGTGCATCCAGAACGACACAATATATTTGAAAAAGTGATTCTTTTCTCCAGACGGGGAAGTTTTCCTGGACTTTTTTCCGACAGCGAACTCAATGCAGTAAATTTTAGGAGCAAAACTGTTTGCTCCTACAATGTATTGCATTGAGTTGGCCATGTTTTTAATTTTTTTTCGTGATTGCGTTCAAATTTATACTGGCCGTGCAACGGTTTGCAGAGGGGGAATGAAACTGACGTCCAATCCGCGTAAACCTGACGTTTGAGGGACTGAGACTGACGTCCAATCCGCGTGAAAGACTGGTATCGAGGCTTCATTGTTTTCACAATCAAATGACTGAATGTTATCGTTCCAGATATATATATATATAGAGTTCACTGACAAAGTGTCGCCAAAAAAATGGCGGATTTTGATGAAAAATGACGCCATTTCCATGACTACTGGTCCCTAAATTCATGGTAATTGCCACTGAACAAGGCTCAATTATGAGCCCGCCACAGTTTTCACTCCCCCCTGGTTTTTATAAAAATATTTCGGCTTTTTGCAATTTGGCGAATTTGCAGTGAATCCTTGTTGTTTTGATATTTTCGACATATTTTTTCGCCTGTTGACAATTTGTTCAAAGATGTGGAAGCTGTACACGTTAATTCTCGTCTGTGGAGCGTGAAAGACAACAAACAACTATTAAAACCTCGCGAAATGTGGGCAAAAACGATACTTCAAGCCAGAACAAACATCCGTATTTATCAGATTATAAACAGGTATTTATACATTTTTCAAATTTACATTACTATTTTAAATATTTCATGCAAAAATGTTAGGAATAAATGGTAGAATGTACTCTATTTTTTAGAAAATAAGCCACGAGTATTTATAATGTGGTTGTAGACGAATCTTTTAATTTTAAAATATAATAATTTCATCCCTCAATCCCAAGGAATTAATGGTTGTACATGTATATGAATTTGACAAATATTTGAGTTGACATGAAACTATTATGTGCTAGTATATTAAAGAGGGAAGTAAGGTTTTATAGATTTAGCCAAGACCGGGTTTTTTCATGCATGAGCTCAGAACTGGTGCTGGAAAAAGCTCAGCTGATCTGAAAATGCATATGCATTTTTGCCCAAGTTTGCATGTATATTGTGTGCTCTCTGATAGTTTGTTGCATGTATCTTTAAAAGGCCATGCATTAACTTGTTTGCCCCATCCCTATAAGTATTGGGTTAATTGACTCAACTGCTGGCATATTTCTGGTGTTCCTGAGGTAGGGGCTAATGTGACAGCTAGCCCTAGGCCAGTAAGCAAGATCTCACTCACTGTGTGGTTATTTTTATAGTGGAAATTCCTTTCAAATTGTATGGACAACCTGACTGGCTCAGTTTTCATATCTCACCTGAAGAAGGCAAGCTCTCAGTTACACCGGGAAGATATTTTATGGATATAAACACTAACTGGACTGACCTGGTCTAAGTAAAGTCAATACAACATTGGTCATGGAAATATTGTCAAAACAATAGAATTGTGTTGGCAAGGAAATTAATCTGGAAATAATAAATAGTTCTGCCAACCAGGCCAGCCTGGCTTCCATATTGATAGCCCCTATGGCTATAATCTATTCTTGCTTATTGCAGAATGCTCCCACAATGAGTTCATGCCACTGTTGTTAGAGAACCTCCAAGAAACATGTATTAATTGTTTCAAAATTAATTAAAGACAAAAATTTGCTTGATTTTGTATATTATTTATTTTAATTCAACTTGCATGGTTAAAGAATAATTATCCAATTGGGACGTTCCAGAAAAGATCCAC